CAACAGTTTGTAAATTTTAACTGGCACGACTTGTGTCCGGAGCAATACAATATCACTCGCGATCGACGTAACGTTTTACTGTATTATAATAAATTTTATCGTTCCGCTTTATACGAAAAACGATACCTTTCTAGATATTTTATTGAAATATTTTATTAGATCTCTGATGATGATGGAATATACTAGCCGCTAATTTCGTGTGTATATTATTTATCATGTAATACTTTTTTTATTTTTTCCTTTTTTTCTACTACAAGCGATTTACTTTTATTTTTTATTCCGTTCCGATAAAAGCACGTATACGATTTGACAAATGGCAAAAGATCGTATACCTAAATACCTGTTTGTATTTATAACGACTAGTGTTCCTAAATATCTTTCAAAACGGCACTATCGGCGCACCGCGAATAGTTTTCATTGTATATAATGAATGTGATATACGTATACATATAACTGACGAACCCGGCTCGTATGCAGATTCGACGACAAAAGAAACGAAACAACTGAATTACACAAGTAGTATGCAATTAGTTTATCAAAGACATGTGTGTAGTAAATGTTGTATAAAGTAGATGATAATGATATAGTTTTAATTAATGAAGGTAGCAATGGCAATCCCCTATTTGTATATGCATCCATTAATAAACATTTGGTAATTGAACAACATATACACGATACACGTATAAATAGGATGATGATCGAAATTATTTCGGGCCTATATTCGAGTTTCAACTCTTTCCCCGTTAAGCAACGGATGCATTACATTTGATTGGTGTATTACAATTATTTGTAATATACTAACGAGGCGAAGAGTATCTGACACTAACACGTTGTTTAAACAAATTCTTTCAACAGTATCTATGGATGCTGGATTTTTAACTATTTTTCTTCAAGGAGATCTCTTATCGATAAATCTAAATTTAACTGAGAATGTGTTGATTGTTCATTTTCGAAATTCTTGAGCTAATCCGTTTAGAACGTCAATGGAACAAACGTGTAGTACTTTTTGTTTAAATAATAATGAAAACATTAGGTGATGTGTTTTCATGCATTTCGGCTGATGCAAAGCCATAGTATTCGAAATAGCTTTGTTAAATAGAAGCTCGGAAAGTTTATCGATGTAACAATTTAGCTTAGATTTTACGCGTGTGCTCTATATAAGTACAGCGGTTCTCTTGTTTAAAGGCAAATAAATTACGTGCAATATTGACGCTCAACAAAGTATGAAGAAGGTGCAACTGCTTATTATTGGCCCGAGAACAACGACTTGTAAAATATAACAATTAATCCCGGTCATTAACTCTGTGTCGTAACGTAATAAATCGAGGACCCCTGTTCTTCAATATAGCTACACCGTTTTTGCTGACAATGTGCATTCATATATAAACCGTTTCTTTCTTTTTTATCAAATAGGATAGCAGTACTCTCGTAACGATCTTCGAAACAGTTTTAAACAGTTCGATGAATTCTTGTAATAATTCTCAATCTCTCTCTTGCAATCACATAGAAACTATACGTAATCTGATTTGTATAACAAAAACGAAATTTGTCGTAATATTTACACCGAGATTGGATGAACATTGTATGAGTGCTTAATCAATTCCAAATGACATATTGTACACACAGAGAATCAAATTTAGTCGTTCATCCCTTACTATTAACCATATGTAACAGTATTAATAATTAACGAATGTGATGGAAACAGCTAACAAATATTTGAAAATTCAAGTAATTCCTTCAGAAACATTTTCCAACGTCTCACCTTAATACTTGTGGAACTGTTAATCTTAAACGCTATCGATTTTAAAACGAAAAGTGTACAATTCTAGTCAACTACTGTATATTAAAATTAGAGAAGATTATTACAGATTTTAATTAATATTTCTTTATAAACGTATATTTATATGTATAATTGATGTTGAGCAGAGGGATCGTTTAGAAAATCGAATGGTTACAGAAGCATGACAATAAACAAAGTACTTACGATTAAACAATTAAGCATTTAGAGGAACGTTTATTTTTTAACGGGCAGATATCTTACATTTGTAATGCTTGTGAATAATATATGTTAGTTCATTCCAATTCATCTAATGAATAAAAAAAATTGTAAATTTTTTTTCTCGAATTTACGTTCAAGCGTGTTATTTTTAATTTAATTAATTGTGCATTAGATCGTGTAATAATCAAGAATGACCTGTATTCTATAAACATGACAGAAGCGTTTATTTAGTATTAATCCCTTTGTATCTATAATTTAAATGTAAAATATCATTCCATACTTGTAAAATTATGAACAAACGAAGAGTTTACCTTAGGACATTGCTTTTTAAATGAGATTGTGGAATTCGACAGCAAACAGATTCAAATATGCCAAACTATTACATATGACTAGATCTATTACATGAACAGCAATAGAATGTAACGAAATGCTTGTTAAAATGAGAATTCATCGAACTGAGGAGATGTTGGTTTAAATTAAACATTTGAAAGTGCACATATTGCATATATATTTTAGTGATAAGTAAATTTGTTGAAAAATAGCTGGAACTTCAACCGATTTAAATGCCTTTTGAACGATGAGTTGCAAATTATTTTCGAGCATAATAGATCATTTTTCAATTTTCTGAGCTCCGTCATCGTTTAGATTTAAATTAGTTGATAATAGGTGATTATTTTTTATGTGATTAAACACGTATGTTTAATTCTCTCTGTCGTATGATGTGAACAACTTTTGTTTGAAATGTTTCGTATACATTTTCAATCATTTGTTCAGTAACACGTAGCACATAAACGCCATTACATTTTCTGTACTTTGTAATTTCAAGCATACTATGTAATTTTTAGGGTATACTACATAAATACAAAAGGACGCTATGCACGCAATGTTAATAGAATGATATTACTTTTTTTTCCCCAGAATTTGTCAACCTGTAATAGNTTTTTATCTAAAGTATGTCGTATGTGATACATATATTGCATAATTATAAATCTGTAAATCTTAATAATAATTTTATACGACATCGTTCAATCGTTATGATTCCCCATTTTGGCAATCGACAAGTTTATTGTAGACGCGAATATAATACCTATTGAATCTTTAATTTCTCGATTTATTACGACATCATTAACGATTCCTCATTACCATATACCTACATATATAAATACTCAGAGATTTATTGAAAGTACAAATCTGTAGCAACACGATCCTGATTGAATATTGGTAAAAAAAAACGAGTTGTAAGGACATGAAAAAAGGAAGAATGTGTCTAGTAGAGTATATAATGTACAAGTTAGAATGCATCTGTCAGTCTGCACTTGAAACACCCTTTTATTTAAATACCTATCTTAAAGTGTAACGTATAACTTAATTTTTATTGAAAATGCAATGATTGTATATGGGCTGCGTTTGAGTCATGATTGAATGTAACAGTTTATTAACTAACGTAAAATAAACTAAAGTATTCGAAAAATAGTATCGTGCACTTACTTTTATGTAGAACACCTCGTCGTCACGGTGAATTCGAACGAAAATAAATGCAAATCGGTCACTTCACTGCACAAACTTTTGCACGAACGACAGCACGGGCGCCCTTTTGAATTTTACTCCGAGCGAGGGAACGGTACCCTTTTGAATTTTACTCCAGCCAATCAAAATCAAAGCAAAAATCGTTACGAGCATGCAATCGAGTCGAGATGAATTCTCATTTTTTATTACTAGAAGTTTTAGAATATATTTATATTTCTATGAAACAACCCCTGAAATTCACGTAATACGAAGTAAACTATACTTCTTTAAAAGTCAGTTTAAAAATTATTGAGGCAATGTTCCGAGTCAGGCTATTACGCAGGCTCCAACAGACTCACGTAATGGCTACCGACTAGTCAAGTTCGACAATTTTAATGTTCATTCCGAATAGAATTTTTCTTTGTGTTACCTATAATTAATTCTTATTTTATATTTACCAATTAATAACAGGACGAGGGAAGCCGAAAATTCCTTTCCTTTAGTCTATCGATTTGATACATACGCATATCGATCTGTACTACACGTATACACACTACACTACTACAATTACTTCCATCCTTTCAGCGATAGGTGGCAGTGAGATGCAGGAAGACGCGAGAAAGTGCACACAAAGTGGTACATCGTAGTTGAATTAATTAATCGTATGAGAATTTCGTACGGTTCTCTCTGTCCTTAATAACTCTGAATTCATTATAACGTAGAATTAAATAGTAATTATTTACAACCGAGTAATGAGATCTGTCGTGTATAAGCTAGGAACCATTTTAACCGTACGTCAACCTAGCATCGATCTACTACGTCGTTTGCCAATATGGTTGTACCGCGAGTCTCCCGAGTGAAATTTGAAGATGAATCTACAGAAACAGGTCAGTCATCGGTAAATCTTTATTATTTTCTCGTTGCTTATTCATTTTGTCTACGTTTAGTAACTCGCGTTTCGATTTATATTAGCCTTTTCACAGTTTCCGCTTTTTGCGTAGTTACACTTGTTGCTAACTACGTCTCGTTTTGTGAACATGAAAAGCAGTTTATTTATTTAATTGTGCTCCTTTTTGCATACAATATTTCGTCCTATGTGATCTTTTCCATGATACTGTGTAAGTATAATGACGTAAGTGTAACGACGTAAGTATAACGAATTACGAATGTCATAGTTTTTGTTTGATCAAATGTTTTCACGTGAATTCGTGTTACACAAATGTGTAAACAGGCACATGGTTGAGAGTATGCTTACGTATCATTAGAACGATTTATGCTTGTGTAATATAATTTTTTTTGTTTCATCAGCAGGAGTAAATTATAAAAGTCTGTATGTTTCAATCGTGAGAATGATTAGATTCGAATGTAAAAATGAGATTCCCCACCGGACTTCGACGACAGCCCGTTGGCACTGTTCTTGAATTCTTAAAATCTGCGACTAGAGTTTTCAGGCGATCCGAACTTACTGGGGCAATTTGTCGGTGGCCTCTGGTTGGCACCTGAAAACTCTTACTGCAGTTCTCGAGGATTGCCGAATCACTGCAGGAACGTCGTTTCTCTTGCCTCTCTTTCCCAATGTGTGTGCATACAAGCACATACGTGCTTGGATAAAGAAGGACGTCTACTTCTCGGCTTGTGTAGAATGGAAAAAAGATTTTCAAGCGCTTTTAAATCGGATTGAAAATCCACTTGTTTAAAATCGTCAAATGCCGTTTCAGTACAACTGTAATGTGCATAGCAGAAATTATTAAAATTCCCAGGTTTACTTTCACGGTAATACACACGCGTATATTCATTCCTTCAGTTAACAAATATAACTTACGTACTAAAGTTACAAGTTGTTGGTAGTGCCCCTGCAGTGATTTCAGTTTGTACGTCTAGTTGACTACTTGTTTCGGTTGCGAACACGGGAGTAACTATTAATTTCAAATGCAATTTATATCTACGTTTCACTGGCAAAAGTTTGATCTTGGTTGGATCAAGTTACAGACGATGGATCTCTAAACGATGATCCGACTATTATTAGAAGGATACAATAGCAGATGCAGTTTGTAGAAGCATCGAGCGACCAATTTTTTTAACTTTAGACGCATTTATTAGGACTATGATTTAGAATGAATAGTTAAGATTTTGCGATAGCTGAACAGTCGTGTGAATCGATATAAGGATCTGTGGCGTACGTGTATTGAATCAAGGGGCATAGAGCGAATCGATTGTTGCTGATCCAAGATTATTGATAACTTGCCAAGTTTCCTTCAATATGGCATTTTAAATCAAATCATCTTTATTCATTTCTTCGTATTCGTCTCATACGCAGCATAATAATTTTATAAAAAGAACATTGTGCAAAACAATCCGAATGTTTGTATGACGTTTAGGTATTTTCGTACAAAGAGTTATTGTGTTTTAAACAAATGAAGTAAACTGCAATTGTTCCGTTCCAATTAGCAATCGCGAATTAATTTACGAATCGAATCGGTCAATTTTCCAAGCCGGCTTATTCTCGAGTTTGCAAGTACAATAGCCGTCGGACGGATTTTAAAGAACTTTAATACTTGACAAATAATTCGGCAAGTTACTCAAGTCCTTTCATTCTTTATTTTACGCTTACCCCCTTTTTTCTACCCGTCGATTCACCGAGAAGGAGATTGGCATTCGGGGTTCAATGATAAATGAGCTACGCTGAATTGGAACGACCTTTCCTTGCTATTTTCTCGTCTCAGTTTTCTCTCACTTTAGCCCCTACCTTGCTGCTTATTTCTCTCCATTCGCGTTAATCCATCGGCTTGGCAACATGCTGCACGATCATTTCCAAGTCCGACTATTTTCCATCGATTTCTCGAACAACGTTCCCCCTGTTTCCTTTCTTTTACAATTCCTCCAGTCGTTTAAATCAATGTAAATAAATAATTAGTCAATTGGTTTCGTGCAAGTCAAATCAGTTCTTAAGCGTCAAGTAATTCTCGAGAGCGAGCTCTCGCCGAAACTTGGAATTACATTTGGTAATCCACGCGAGATTAGAATTCCCGTAACCGGTTTCACCGGCGCGATACTTCCAGAAGAAACGTATCCCATTAGCCGTTCCTCATTCTTCACTTGTTACTGATTCGATTAGGCGCATCGTTTGTGCCCAGATCAAAGAAAGGGCTTAATCCTTTCAACAACGAAGCCTTTCGTGGGCGGAGCGTCGACACCCTTTTTTTTAAATCGCGACTCGCGAACTACGGTACCAATGCCTCGGCGTCGCGTGCATACGTAAAGGCATCACGTTTGCGCGCGCAAGGTTGGTCCAGATTCCAGCCTCAGACTCTTCGTTGTCTTCTCGTCTCTCTCTCTCTCTCTCCCTCGTTTACCCTTTCTCACCCCTTGTGGTTCCTTCTCTCTCTCTCTCTCTCCTATCTACGTCGTCGTCGTCGTGCTGTGCGTGCCCAGTGGCGCCGCCGACCGGGCGAAATCCTCGAAACCTACCCCTAGAACCCGAGACTCGGAACCAACCCCCCTGTTGTTCAGTCGTGGGTGCAGTGCGTGCGAGTGTGCAGTGGTTTCGGGAGCTGCTTCGAGACCGGCGTGGCCTGGAGCGCGCCAGGTTAGGTCAGTGTTGGTTTCTCAACCCTTTTCCATACACACACGCGCAAATATTTTATAATGGTAGCTTCACGCGTACTTTATGATTTTATATAAAGGACTTCTTCAAAAGTATTTTAACAGGGAGCGTTCTGGCTCGTGTTTCTTCAAATAGCGCACTTTGTCGAAAATGTCATTTAGATTGTTCAACATTAGTTTCGAGGAGGGAAAGAACTATCTGGTTTAATCGTCCGATGGAACTTGTTAAAATTTCGTGATCGACGTAAACGTTGAATCTTTCCTACAAGTCGACGCGTGCCGTTGCGAAGCGTGCCCGGTTCGACGCTGAAGAAGAACAGCGTCGAACGAGATTCTCGTTAAAATTCGCGTGGCAAAGACGACGCCGCGGAGAAAGAGGATCACCTTTTCTGTAGACCGCGATTATCCGAAATAAAATATCGTTGACCCAGTTAGCAGCGCAAAAGTAATTAGACATTCGCGCGGCGGTAGACCAGCGGGCCATCGTAGGTGAGAGAGTCGTTGATCGATCCTTCCTCGTTGCCGAGCGCATGTACGCGATCCATCGTAAATTCACATTTCCACTTGTGTATCAGTGCGTGCGGTGACATCGGACTTGAAATACGGCACGCGGGCCGCCCATCGGCGATGCCTATACGAACGGAGGAAATTTAGTCTCGACTAGGTAATCCCCAGCCAGACACGCGAGGCGCCGACGAATAGTCGGATTTTATCCCCGTTTCCACCTTCATGTCCCTCGGCCGCCTAGCATTTTTACCGATACAGGAAAATCTCGTTTCCCTCGCCTTACTTGATTGTTACGTTAAGCACGATATCGATCCGACGATTTAACGAGATGGGCGTTACGCGAGTCTTTTGCGAGTTTTCAAAACTTACCGATTCGAGCAAATCCTTTTCCCTCGTCTTTGGCTCGTTCTCGCGAAACTCGTACGTACGTGAAATGATCGTGTTTATTTAACGAGTATCGTTACGGCGAATTGAAATCTGTCGGATATTAGCGAGGACGATCGTTTTGCCCGCTCGTTCATCGGTAATTTATTTGTGCGAATGCCGTCGAAACACGTTGATAAACGTAACCAACGAAATTAGATTCATCATAATTGACCCAGCGAGCGTTATGAATCAATTGGACGCAAGTCTAGATTATCTCTCGTGACAAGTAATTCGTTCGGAAATCTGCGGCGTCACAATGCATATTTAGCTTTTTATCTCGTTAATCCCATCTGCAAACGTATGATTATTACCCATGTTTGTTAACGATAAACTGGTCGTGTTTACGCCGATACCGAGTCGAAAATACGTGTACGGAAGCTTGATATCCAAGTGGAAAATCCATCGAGATAATCCTAATCCCAGTACCGACGAGTGGTTCACCTGAACTGATCAGGCTACCTGCATAACGATCGTTGAAAATCGGATTAAACGCTGTCAGATATAGGCCCGAATTTACATCCGGCGCGGTTATCTCGTCGAATTGCAACGTACTTTCCTCTAATGGCCTTCCGGGGGGATACGCGAATCAATCAGTCGGTGCATCGCGTCGCTCGGAAATGATGGCCGCACCACTTTGTTGTCCTTTAATAGCAACGCTCTTGTTTGCTACAGACAAATTGAGTGCGACCATCTTTGGTTCCACGCATCTTTCACTGCCCGCGATTAAAATGCAATCATGCATGCGTGCACCGTGTAATCGATATCGATTTTCAATTGGTGAAAGTTGATGATGAAAATTTAAACACTCGGCTAATCCCTTGCCAACATGTAATTTCACGTGTAAATGCGAAACGCATTGTAAATACTCGTCGGAAACATGTAAATTAGATAAAGGCGCAGATGCATGCGAGACTTGAAACTTGAGTAACTTGCGCGACGGTATTAATAGCTTTTTAATGTCAAGGAAAATATGATTACTCTCTTAATATACATTATCGCGGGACCGATGCGCGATAAAGTAAGTTATTTAAATGAAATTGTAGCGCAGGCGTTCGCTGCTGGTGCGTCGCCTTTCGATAATAGGTCAGGGATGGGGAGGGAGAGTGGGCGCACTTTGTCTTTCCTCTCTTAATCTCTCAGTCGCCGGCCGCTATTCAATTTTGCCCCTGCGAAAGTCTGAGAGACGGTTTGAAAATCCGCTCCGTCTTTTTAAAGATGAAACGTTTTCATTTCTGAAAGATAAAGGTTTCAATTGAGCCACTCTGTCCGGTAGGCACTTTTTCGGTTGCGCCTTGGCCAATGAAAAGAGTACTCGACGCTTCTTGCCAACTTTTTTCACTTGTCCACCGCGAGCTTTAAATTCAGCTTATCTCGCTGAATTATTACCGTAACATCTCTGCAAGACCCGTGTCAACGACGATTAGATTGAAGGGAATCCGCGGAACGTAAAAAGATCGAATCTCTCGGATCGCATTATTGCAGTTTGTCAAAAGTATCGAAAGATCGTTCAGGAATACCTTTGTACATTCCGCGGATGGATCGACTGCGATCTGGAATCGTGATAATTCGGATAATTCGAGAAACAATGTATCGACTGGCTGGTTCTCGAGCTCACAGAAATCCTCGACTTGGTGTTATTTCAAACTGCAGGATTCCCTCTTTTTGCTCTCTCGTCAGCACGTGATGCGTCAGATTGATCGGTCGATGCACTCGATTCAATGTTTCCCTTGGTTCTTTTGCAGATTCGTGGTTCGCGGTTGGTGAGAACGGGGTTGCCGAGGGGTACTTGTGTGGGTCATAGTGGAGGAGACAGGGGAGCACGATGCCCCCCATAATCGGGGAAACACTGCGCGTATGGTTCCTCTCGGCGTTGGTGGTGCACGGTGCTGTCGCTGGCAATCCAGACGCGAAACGCCTTTACGACGACTTGCTCTCAAACTATAACAAACTAGTGCGCCCCGTTGTGAATACGTCGGACGTGCTACGCGTGTGCATTAAGCTGAAACTCTCGCAGCTCATCGATGTGGTGAGTAAAATCGTTTGTCCTAACGTAGTCGTTTAAGGAGACGGAAACGCGAAAATTAGTTTCGTTCCGCGTTTTAACAAACAGGGATAATAGATGCTACCTCCGGGAAACTTTTATCTGGCGCGCAATGAAACGTGCAAAAATAGTCTTGTTTGATAAACGGTATTCTCCGACTTATCGTACGAGTTTAGCTTTTTATTTCTCGCGGTTAACGCTGTGCGAGATAATTCATCACCGGCGCGCACGGTAATCGCTCGTCAACGAGATTTAGGAGAGACGTGGGACCGTAACGATACCGCGAGTAAAATCGCACCTAGAATGGATCGTATTTCAACTAGAACGGTCGGATATGATTAGTCGATTACATGCTTATTACGTCGTTGAACGAATGGCAAATCGTATATATTCAAAGTATTTAAATTATTCATACAGGGTTAACGTGCATCACACGTACCGACTCGACGTTTAATGATTTTATCTGAAACGTACTCTGCATGAATTCGTTCATTGAATCAATGTATCTTTAAAATTTTACAACGGGCATGTGTTTCTATTAAGGATGTATTGGCTATACAGTCAACCTTAAAAGTTTATGCACTTTAGAAACTCATTTTTTAAAAAGAAATCAGACGACGGAAGAACATTGCTAATAATAAACAACAAAAAAAAATTTTCGGTTTTTCCGAGATTTTTCCAAGGGGTACCCCTTCAATTTCTTCCAAATTTTCGTTTTTGGCCAATAACTCCCAAACCGTTGGACATACGGAAAAATTGCATCTGACCTTTCTTGTAGAGGACGATGAGATCTACAATTCCCATGTAAAAATTTTTCGCTAGTGTCAACAGTTTACGAGTAATTTGCAAAAAACTATTTTTTCGTTTTTCGTCAATAACTCGTTAAGTATTAATGTTAGCGAAAATTTTTTACATGGAAATTGTAGATCTCGTCGTCCTCTACAAGAAAGATCCTATACAATTTTCCCGTAGATTCAACGGTTTAGGAGTAATTAAGGAAAAACGAAATTTTTTGCCAGAAGTTCGCTGATTCCATGGTGGAATGGTCGGATTTTGTCNTGATTTCTTTTTAATTATAGGAAATGCGTTTTTCTAAGGTACATAAACTTTTGGGATTGACTGTATAGCCATAAATGAAATGACTAATGGATTATTTCAAATAATGTTCTTTATCGATCCGCCACGTCTTATAAATAATACCAAAACGAGTACATCAATTTGGTATTATTAATGACCCATTCTTAGTAGCTTTGTCCTGTTCTTTTATTCATTCGGCTTGTCGTCGTCTATTAAAATTCCTAGTCCCCATCGAGGGAATTAAATTCACAGATTATCTAGACTGCGCAGTCTCTAGTATTCATTTCGCAATAATATTCCACTTGAATGGGATTTTCATAATTCACGGGGATGAGACGCCGCGTGCCAGGGCCTTTAGCGAGGTTTGATCGACAGGCAGACCTATTTGAATTTTTTTCCCCCCATAGGAGACTAAATTCTCAAGGTCCGGCGACCGTTGTAAATCAGTCAAATAAGAAGAGAGACCCGAAAGAAATGTTGATGGAAATTATTCCTTAAGCCAGTAAGCGAGGCCCGAATGAAATTTATTTTATAGACAGACAGATTTTTATGCGGTATAAAATATTTTCGTTGCCTACGTACGTTGTATACGTTCATCATGTTTGTGCATAGATGCATGGAATGTCTGAGTGGAGATGCACGATTTTGCATAAAATCTTTTACGACAGAAATTAATTAGCTCGGCGAGTCAACGACAGAGAATAATTGATTTTCGTTAAATATCCCGTAAACGCACGTGCTTCATTAAATCTTTCACTTACAAAATAATCGTTGACGCGCCCGTTAATATTAGCTTTAATCCGTACCCGGCAGGTGGTTTATTAAATTATTTATTCAGTGTACTTTACAGCTATTATTAATACAGTTAACCGTAGACGGGCTAAATTATCCGCTGAAATATTGGTTTAATATTTCGCGGCAAATATTTGCAAATTTCCCTGCTGATATTTTTGCCAGCGTCGATTCTTTCTCTCGCGCGCGACGGCGAACGGGTTGGTCTCGAACGCGAATCTGGACTCTCGGACCTTTTTCAAGGACGGCGAATAGTGTCTTACGAGTCGACGCGATACAAAGAGGTGTGACACGAACAGATACCGCGGTTTTAAAGCGAGTACCACTGTCGGGCTCGCGGACAACATACCAATCTACATACTGCACGTATACAGAGGTATTTATGACGCCGCCGCGTAGCGTTGCGAGGCTGGCTCCATTGTCGGGATGATCCATCTTGAGCCCCGCGCTTTACGTGCTGCCTTGGCGATATATATGGGCCAGGTATTCGCAACACGAACGCGTCCTCGGTGTTGAACTTCTCGAGGATTGCCGATTGAATTCCACCAGAGTTCATTAAGGCGTATTAGTAAGGCCGCGCGCGGGCGGCGATCCATCGGTCTCGGGCAAGTTTATTACTGGGAATGAAAGCACACACGGCTAGAAATTTCACTGTGGAATACCAAATGTTGTGTACGTCCGCGGGATGGTAGAAATTTCGAAAACTACTGAATTATGCGTCGTCCTAACGAAACGTTCCGTCCATTGATCGCTGTTTGTACATAGTTGCTTTGTTCCCGGGATTGTTAAAATTGCAATCTCAGTTCGCGAACATTGAAATCGCGTACTGCCTCTCGATTTTATAATTCGTTGCTCGTAACGGTCGGAGATTTTTGTCGAAATTTTTCGGGCACAGGAAATGATTTTTGACGATCGATATTAATTCAGTGGTGACGGGCAAACGGTTTCATTAGCAGATTTTCCGATCGGGGGGAAAAACTTTCCGCGCGACTGACTCGGGAACATTATGCAAGTTTCAATCTGAATTAGCGAGCGTATATCGGTAAAACTCTGCACGTTTATGACGGATACGATCGAATGTTGTGTTCCCAACGGTAGATAAATCCATCCCATTACACCGGTATTCTAGTTGGTTGATTCATGCATAAATTCATGCGTATACCACCAATTTACATTTTCGAACATCTGTGTAATCTGAAATATGGCCGTTGCAAAGAAGTATTTACCGTTGTTCATGTATGTACGCGTGTTACGGTTTCGATACAACGAGCAATTATTTATTAGGTCGCGGATCTTTATGCAAAGTAAAACGTTCATCATATGGATTGAGATTCTTTAAAAATTAACGATATTGGGTTCATTGATCGTCGATTATTGAATGCGGGTTCAGTCAAAGTTAAAGGGTACGATAATAATTATTGTTACGATGACGTCTTTGATCGATGCACTTGCGCTTAATGCGAGACTGGAAGCAATGCGCAAAAGTTTCCTTGACAAATCGCCGACAATCCAGGAGCACGCATACGTGATGCTCGTACGGCCCCGCGTACAACTTTTACTATACCTATTGTTCATTCAGCCGACACGTACGGAAAGTACTCTTTGTTTATATTTCCCATCGCAATCCATCTTCTATTTTTTCTTTTTTTTTTACCTCTCGTAAAGTTTGCGATTTTTCTCACGCGTGCATTTTCGCGCATACATGCCACGTCCGGCACGGCGCGTCGGCTTATTTTCGAAACGAACGTAAATTCTCGTCGCCGGACCATCTCGTCGTAGCGCGCAAAAAAAAAATTGTTCACGCTGCTGCAACGTTGCGGTGCCGACCGCGGCTTTGACATCGGTCATAGAAATCGATTGGTTATTATGGGCAAATTGCGAAAACCTGCAAACTGATTGAACTCTCGAGGTACAATGAGAACTGGTTGTTTGCGAATATCGACTATTCTATATCGAGCGAATATTAATTTTCAATTCGATCCAAACGCGACGGTAATTGTACCAACCAATGGACTATATAAAATATTGCCAATTTTTCCATGTTTAACGAGCACTCGGTCTGTCGCAAAATAGCAAATTTTCTGTATAAAAAAAAAACCACATTGCGTTCGATGGTAAATGTATATTTGCGTAGCTGCCGCGAACGAAATTACTTTCGCCTGAATTGGAAGCAAATACGTCATCATTCGGTGGAAGAGATAAAATTCTCGCGGGGACGTAGAAAAAGTGTTTCAATGATTAATGAACACGCGGATTTTGTATGGAAAATGTTTGTGGTATCGGTTTAAATAAACTTCGTTCCATCAATGTTGAATAAGGTTTCATCGACAACGATAGTAAATAACTGGTAATCTGTGTAGCTATTAGATCGTCGAATCTACGAAGCAAGTATTCCCGACTCTGGATAGATTAGCTTAATGTCGTTAAGCTGGCAGCCGAGCGTCTCGGCACCGACAACTTTCAATTAACTTGAACGCAAATCATTAAAAGGTAAATCCATCGGGATCCACAACTACGTTCCCCCCGGATATCATTAACCGCATGGTAAATGAACCAGATACGCCGGCACCTGTTCCATAACTATCTACGATACTCCCAATGGATAGGCCTCGTCCGGTGAATCAAATTAAATCATGCCGGAGCTCGATTAAATACTGGCCCTCGTTCACGCCCGATTTCAAAATGTACCGAAAACCGCCTCGCACAATTAACGCACAGAAAATTCTCTGCGATCGTCGAAATTCTACGTTTGCGCGAATTATTTTTTTTTAACCCTGTAATCCGGTTCGGTAATAATTATAGAGTTTGCTCTAAAGCTGTCGAACATTGCGCAACGACGTCAAAAGTTCCTCATTAATAATTGATGAAATCTCGGAACGATATCTTGACCTTCGACCCCGAGATTTATTTAGTAGATTCGTCCGTCAAAGGGCGTTCGACTCTCGATATCACTGAATGGCTGTGTAAACACCACGGATGACTGGATCTGCTATTAAAATTTAAATCGTAGCTGCGTTTGGTGAATCATCGGAACAACCGAAACTGCAAATATGAATCGCCGACGCGGTGTTACATTAGCATTTCATACGGGCCAGCATTCTATTTTATCGCGCGTC